TGGGTAAATTCCTAGCAGTGCTATTGCTGGGTCATAGGGTACATGGAGGAACTTTAAATACATATTGCTAAATGAAAGAAGCCAGTCTGAAAGGCTACATACTGTATGATTCCAACCATTTGACATTCTGGAAAGGGCAAAACTATAGACAGGGTAAAAAGATCAATAGTTGTCAGTGATTGGGAGAGGAAGAGAGGAAAGAATGGGTGGAACATGGGGCCTGAGGGTTGGTTGTACAACTGTTCTGCATGATACTATAATGGTGGATACATGGCACTAAAGCATCTGTCAAAATTCATAAACCATGTAACACAAAGACTGAAACCTAATGTAAACTATGGACTTTAGTTGGTCCATAAATTTTAATAAATGAATCACACTACTATAGGATGTTAAAAATAGAGTAAACTGTGGGGGCAGGGGATGGGATATATGGGAAACTGGTGTTCCTTGCTCAGCTTTTCTATAAACCTAAAACTGCTCTAAAATATGAAGTCAATTAAGTATTAAAAAGTTTAAATGAGATAATATTTGAGAAATATACATAGCACAGAAAGTCAACTGTAGTTTATCTACTTTTATTATTAATTCATTGCAATTATTTATGTCAGGATCAATTACTTTTTATGTAAGTTGATTTGGGGTTCATATCATAATTTACTGATTATAGATTCTGCTATTGTAAATTTTAGGGATTATTATTTTTAAAAATTTTTTTAATGTTTATTTATTTTTGAGAGAGAGAGACAGAGAGACAGAGTGTGAGCAGGGGAGGGGAAGAGAAAGAGGAAAACACAAAATCCAAAGCAGGCTCCAGGTTCCACACTGTCAGCACAGAGCTCTACGTGGGGCTCGAACACAGGAACCTTGAGATCATGACCTGAGCCAAAGTCAGACGCTTAACTGACTGAGCCACCCAGTCATCCCTAGGGATTATTATTTTTAATAATAATTAAAATTATGCATATCAAAATGTTTTCCAAATGTAGTTTTTCTTCCATTAATCTTTAGTCCATGATAAACTTTGCCACGAGAAGTTTTAACTACTATTAGTTTTATTTTCTGCGTATTATTTTTCCTAGTATTCACCATGAGGGTCAAACATGGTGGGGTCAACAGATTCTATTCTTTGACTTACAGACATATGATTTTGACTCAGCTTTTTAGGAACATGTTGCTTGCCTACAAGACTTCACAACCCCACCTCTCTCCACCTCATTTATGAAATAGAAGAGGGTTTTCTGAGGTCTTCTTATAAGGGACAAGCAGATAAAAATCAACACAATCCCACTCACACACTGGTTTAGAACAGACTTTTTGTTCTCTCTGTGAATGAGTGAACACCAAGGAAAGAGAGGCTGTGGATGCCCCACGCACCTGGAAATAACCCCCTCTCCTCTTCATCTTGAAGTTCTGTGTAGGAAAGAGCACTGGTAGTTTCCACATTTTCATTCCCACTTTGCTTAAAAACCAGTTTTGATTTGGGCAGCAATTCAACAAATGAAAAGACTAAAGTTCTTAACCTCTCTGACAGCTAAGAGTGACCAAAGTTTAGGTCAATGACATGTGAACAGAGTATGATGGGGGACTTTGGGGAGGCTGGTCAGATGGGACAGATACAGCTGGGAGGGCCTCTCTTCCCTCCTTCTTTTCTCCTGCCTGCAGTCTCAAGTGTAGACCTGGACCATGGACAGCCTTGATGATAGAAACCACATGCTGAGATGCTGGGGAAGGACAGATGACCTGTGGTCTTCCACGATGAGCAGTCCAGGACCAATAAGGACGGCCTGCCTCTAGAGCTTTTTTGGGTTTGGGGGGTTTGCTTTTGTCTTTGGTTTGTTTTATTAGCAAATATCCTCCACCATAGGGGTTGTAGGAAAGTTTTGTGAATACAGAAAAGGGCAGGTTAAGAGGACGGCCCCTCTTCTGGAACATAAGTGATTTTCTCTGGTTATTGTCAGTAAGTCACAAATAAGTCAGTGCTATCGTCCAGTTGCCTGGGGTGGGGGTCACTGGAGTTGTCCCACAACAGAAAAAAGAGCTCTTTTATGTGAAAGAGATAGAAATCTCTTTGTTTGTGCCACATTATTTTTCTACTGGATTTTCTACTATACATAGGCAAATATAGGAGCTTTGCCATTGAATCACTATGTGACCTTGTACAAGATAGGCCCTTTCTCTGGGACACAGCCCTTTGTGCATAGTGGCAGAGACAGGTATGCAGGCAGCTTGTATGATTCCGAGACTTGGTGCTTCTTCCTGGCTGACATTCATGCCCTCTTCTGTTGGGAACAGGACATTAGTGTTTCTTTAGGGAACTGCCCCTTCCCCACCCTTCATCCTAGTGGCTGAGACTGACAGCCCTTGCTGGGTCCAGTGGTGAACATATGACCCAGGCCTCAGCAGCTGTGGGGTGCACAGAGCTGGCTGAAGGAGACCAACCTCATGTGTGGAGCTACTAGTACAATGTACATGCGTACACATCAGCTTGCGGGCTCGTGTATGCACTCTTCTTGGGTCTTCCCCAGGACCCCTTGTGTGTGCCTGGCCATGGACACAAAGCCTGGCTACCATACACTGTGTTCCTTTCTGTACCCATATCACTCCATCTCAACACTCCAACCTGTTTTGAAGGAGCTGGACCTCACTGAGCATCCACTTATGTGGTTCTGTATCAGGCTTTTATTGCACAATTAGGAAACTGAGGCCAAGAGTGAGTCAAGGACCAGTCTGGGGCCCAGGAGGTGGGCAGAGTCCAGAGGATAAGGAAGGACTTTGGCCTTGTAGGCCAGGGCTCAACACATCCTGAAAGAGTTTACTTGGTGATGAGAAACTCTAGGATGCCAGGGGGCCCCTGCCCACCTCCTCTCCATTGTGGAGGTCATTTTCCTCTCCACATCCTCACATGTGCTCAGGCACATTCACTCACACTGACTTCTCGGGTGGGGAACATGGAGGCATGGTCAAGAAAGAGCAGACATGGGAGAACTTACAAGAGGGAGAATGGAAAGAGGTTGGAGGCAGCTCTATCATGGGGCAGTGGCATCCATTTCCCTAACTACCTGCTCGATAGGAAGTCCCTAAGGTTCCAAGGGTAGCTTTGAGAGAAGGACTGGGGTCTTGCAGTCCACTTCTGTGAGCACCTGGAACTACAATGAGCCCACAGTCCCTGGTGTGGACAGTGGCTACAGGAAAACAGGTCAGGAGGTAGGTCAACGACAGGCCAGGGGGCAGGCAATGCAGGGTGGGGGACAGGTGAGGAGGACAGATGTGTCTGGTGTGTGTGGAGGAGGGTTAGAAGGGGCCCAGAGCAAGGCCAAGGCTTCTTCCAGGCTCCCCTTCCCCATGACCTCATTCATGCTTCTTGGGATCATCTCCAAAACAATGGCTTGCCCCCAAGTCTTTGTCCACTTTTGGGGAACCAAAAAGTATGCTGAGGCGCTATACTGGCTGTATACCTTTGAGGAGGTTGTCTTGACCTTCTGAACTTAAGTTTCCACATCTGTAAATGGGAGCAAAAGCCTACCTCAACAAGTCATTAAAACAGGTAAAGCATAGGAAAATCCAAACTGATGCAAAGTCAAAATGCAAACCAGGTAAAAGGAACAGGAGTTGATGAAATCAAGGAAGGAATGTAAGCAGTCCATCCAAGTGCCACAAAAAGCTACTAACAAATGAGATCTGGCGTGGTTAGGCCATTTAATCAAGGAAGAGAAAATCAGCAAGGAAGATGCAAGATGGAGGCTTCCAGAGGGAAGGATCTGAGTCTCACAAGATTTAAGGGGCCCCTAGGAAAATTAAGGAGTCCTGGAAGATTTTCCTCAAAATGCTATAATTTGGTCAGGCAAGTTGCCAGGCAGATACCCAATCAAGACTGGATGAATTCTTTGTGGGTTGCATGGTTGCAATTATCTTACACTTTGTTAATGTAAATATACCCATGCCCAGATAATTTTATTATTTCATTTTCCAAGATGAAGTGCCAAGCATGCCTATTGGAATTATGTCCTCTGAATTACTGGTCTCTATTTTAAGTGGCCCAATCCTGTGACCCACCAACCCTGATAACCACATGGAACCCCCTTTAACCTCTGTCCTCCTTACCCATCCACGTGGGCAGGGACCACACCATGTCCTGGTCACTGATGAAGCTACTGTGCTGGGTATAGAGCAGGGATGGATGAACGGATGGATGGATGGATGGGCGGACAGATGGATAGAGAAGGAGTCCATAAAAAATGAACCTTTATGTGGGGTGGGTTGAGGGTGTCACAAGTACAGGCCCTGGATGGTATCCACGGAGCGCTTCCAGCTGTCCTTCCAGCGCTGAGCCTCCTTCACCTGCAATGTGTTGTCATCCTGGATCTTCTTCAACTCCTCTTCAAATAATGCTAAATATTTCTGGGAGCAAACCAGCAGGAGGAGGCCAGATGAGGAGGGACTTTTGGACTCTGGGACCTACAGGAATGCAATACCCCACTGGCGGGTGGTTTTTAACCTACTCCAGACACTGACAAGGGTTCCAGAAATCACTTCTCATGTAATCTGTCCAGCAACCCATTCGGCAGGTCCAGTCGTTTTATAGATGGGGAAACTGAGGCTCAGAATCTTGCCTGGGGTCACCCAATTAGAAAGAGGCTGAGCAGGGACAAGGACCCATCCCCATGATTCTGGACTCTGCACCATTCCTAACTGCCATCCCGCACTATGGCTTCCTTGGAGCTCAGGGGACTTGGTTTCCATGTAAGGCTGATCCCTCCACACCTTGAGCCCTTACTGAACTCGACAGAGGTGTCCCCTCTGCCCAAGCTTGGCATAGTGGCCAGGGAAGGGCGTGGGCTCTCCCCCAGTGGGGTCAGCCTATCTTGTACCCTGGGCAGGACAAGATTTCTCTCTCGGCACCAGGACCAACACTGCCACAGGCAGCATCTGGATGCAGCCTCCTCTTTAGACAGGCCTCAGGGGTGACTAATAGGCACTGGGCTCAAATCCTGCCTTTGTTACTTCATAGCAGCACGAGGGGGACACATTTCTTTAAGCTTCAATGTCCTCATCAGTACTAGGTGGACAATTCTTTCCATCATGGGGCCATTATGAGGAGTCAGTGAGATGCCTCATGTTGAGAGAAGCATGGCAGGTGCTCAGTAACTGCCAGCTGCTCTACCCACTGCCTCCCACTGCTCCCATGGCCTCTGTGCCTCTTACTACTCTGTCCCCTCACTCTGACTCAACTGTTCTTCCAGAGGTCTTCCTTCACCCCTCAGTCTGGGTGGGGTGTCCCTCAGCTGGGCTCCCCCTGGCACTGGGGCTCATGCCATCAGACCCACACTATCACTGGGATTGGACATGACCCACGAACATGGGTCTGTGAACATTAACTGTCTTGAGTGTTGACACTGTGCTCTGGGGCCCCCTGGCAGGGGTCACCTTCCCCATGGGCCAAACATGAGGGCACCTTGGGACGGGAAGCTCCCTTCTTCCCAAGGCAGCCAAACTGAGCTGCCCTGTGCTCCCTAGGACATGCCCATCTGCACCCTGTCTCTCGACTCACCAGGTAGACGGCATCTCGGGCTTCCACAGCCGCCAGGTGGCCCAGGGTCGTTTTGGTGGTGATGATGGATGATGTTTTCCGGAGGAGAATCTTGTTTTGGATGGTGACCTCAGTGGGTTTGATTCCTGGCCACTTCCTACAAATAAACATGCATGTAAAAGTCTGACATGCTTGTCATCATCCTTCACAGTGCACCCTCCAATCCCGGTGGAAACGTTTGGCATATCTTTGCCTTTTTTTATTTTTTAAAAGATCATGTTTTAAATGTCTTCCTTAAAAGAAAAACCTTACTGAGCATTTAACATTAAGTTTCTTCAAGTTCTTTTTCCTACTTTCACACTGAATCCATGTGTGTAGCCGGTCTTGGGTTCTGCACGGGAGAGAGGAATGCTGCACTTCTAGTTGTCTCCCTTTTGCAGGCCTCAGTTTCCTCAGCAGTGGGCCAGCCAGGTGGCAGTCACCTATTCCTGGCCCATTTTTCCTAGTGTGTTGGGCAAATCACCACCTTACTTCCTCTTCCAGAGTCACATTCTTGGGGCACAGAGAACAAGGACTTTGACAGTTCTTATCACACATGCAGCGCTCCACAGTGCGACCAGTGACTCAAGAATGTGCCCCATACTGGGATGGGCCTCCCTTTCTTTGGGGGCCCCTTTGTGGGTCCGTATCAAAGGAACTAATAGCTGGTGAGCTCTTAACTGTGTGCCAGGGGCACTCTAAGTACAATCTCATTAAACTTTCTCTTTGTAATACCACAGAAGGTGGGCTTCCATGCCCATTTCACAGGCAAGGAAACTGAGGCTTAGAACATAATGCCTTTCCAAGGCTTCCAGTTGCCCCTGACTATGCCGCTGCCTCGTGCTCCAGCAAACTCAGCCATTGGTGGTATTCTTTAATGCTCTTGGCTCTTACCTGCTCCCCCGCTCAATCAGGGGCTTCTCACTTTCTTCCTTCAGGGAAAGCCTAGCGAGTTTCCTCCGTATGAGGATTGATGTTTTCTGTTTGGTAGGCTCCATCCCTGGCAGGCAAAAGACAGGTTATGACCATAGCCTCACACACGGGCTGAGATCAAGGGGATTTCCCCCGACCCTACGTTTAGAGGGATGAGGGCTTGCTCCCTTCCTCCCGACTTGGAGTGTCCAGTGGGAGGCAGAGCCCAGTCCCACAGAGAAGCTGAAAGCACCATATCTGAAGGCCCAGGGGGGGTGGGGGGGCTGGTGATGGGAGGTGTGATTTAGGCGGTCTTCCCAGCTCCAAAGCCCAGAGCCCGACGCTCTGACCTTCACACAGCTTCCACAAGCCTCCAAATAAGCTTTATAGACCCCTCTTTGGCTTATACTAGCTCAAATGGGTTCTGAACTATCCCTGGGGCAAACACATTCAATGTTGTCCCTCTGATATCTGGCTCACTGACCTGTCCTTTCAAGTGCCTTCCTGATGGGGCTGCAGCAGCCGAGTGACAGTCAGCAGGCAGGAGCTGCCCCGATCTGCCAGGGAGGACAGGGCCAGGCTGCTTGGCCCAGAAGCCGGAGTTACAGCAGGAGAGGCCTCCCTGTGACTGGTACGGGGCTCTTCCAGCTCCATGGTTCCTTCCAAATTACCAAGAGTGGCTTCCCTGCTGCCTGCTCTGCCCAGCCTCCTTCAGGCCTCATCTCTAGTGCCTCTGCAGGCCCTGCTTTCCCAAACAAGGCCTGCACTGGACACAGAGACTTCCAATATGGGAAAATGACCACTACCTCAAAATGCATATACATTGGGACCCAAAAAGTCCACTTCCAGGAACCTACTGCCCCAGAATAGAGATATAAGGATGAAGATGTTCCCTTCAGCACAATTATAGGAGTGAAAAATTGGAAATGGCCCCACGTTCAACAGCAGGGGACTAATGAATAAAGTGCAATGCACAGCAAGTGAAAATGCTCAAGAAGATGATTGACTGGCTTGGCCAATGTCCACCCAAGGGCGAATTAGGTCATGGAAGAGCACACACCCTGTAACACACACACACACACACACACACACACACACACACACACTGAGGTCTGTGCCCAAAAGGAAAGGACTGGAAAGATGGGACAGCAAACATTAAGGGCACTTAGTTCTGAGTAGAAGGACTGTGTTCTTCCCTTTCTTTGTAATTAAGATTGAGTTTTTAATTAAAAATAT